CACTGGGAAATTAACTCTGATGTGGGTTGATTCTTGATTGTATGAAGGCTTTAATACATGTGCTTAACTTTCAGTGGAGTAAACATCATGGGAACACCATGTTTGCACTGGAGTGTTAAAGTACAACACTTATGAGCATAAGAAAAAGATGTTTTGCTAAATCTCAGGCTTACCTGTAAGCAACAATGAAGTCATCTTAATATTTTTTTTTCAATTGAGTGTATTTTTGAGTTCTCAGAAAGGGGCACACAGGTAGTTATAGCATGGTCAGTAAAGACGGCAACAGTTCCCAGAGGGAGCTGAATGGGAATAGAAATGCAAACGTGATGCAGGAGTCTAGGAAACTGATCTGAACTCCTAGTTGCCTCTAAAGCAACCCATATAGTAAACTATTCTGTAAGAAATCCAAACACTAAACTATATGTGTGTAAATTGTTCACAGTTTCTCACAGTTAATGTACATATCCAATGAAGACCATTTTCAGATTATCTGCTCTAGCAGCCAGAGGCCCTGCAAGGCCTCCCTGGCGGTCACTTGCCTAAGATAAGAAATGCCCAGTCATGATGACTGGACCAAAGAAGTCCCTCTTCCACCTTTGGACTCTCATTACCTCTCTGTAAGGCCATATTTGCCTCGACCCTGGCCATTGGACCATTTCCAAAACCCCTGCACCCTATATAAACCTGCATTTCTACCCAGTTCAGCAGAAGAGCTGTCACTGTCACCTTCACAGGAGCTGCCAATAAAGACACTTCTGTGGAACCTCATACAACCTTCAGGAGAAGGCTTCTCTCCCTGTGTTTGCTGGGGCACCTTAGCAAGCAAAGAGCTGAATCCTGAAGAGCTGAATTCACCAAAGAGCTGATCTCACATAAGAACTGAGCTGCTTGCTAAGATTGCCTGGGGATGGGAGCTTGCCTGTGGGACCTGGACAGGTTGTGCTTAGCTGTACCTCGCTATCTGGGACACCTACAGCAGCCAGGGTCAGATAGACCCCAGGAACCCCAGGCTGTAATTATTGGTAGAAGAGCCTTGAAGCAGTGTAATCAATGTGAACTGTGAACACAGTGCCCTAAGACAGCTTCCCTTCATACTGCAGCTTTCAGGTTTTCAAAAGTACCTTTCGTCTGAGGTTTCGTTATAGTTTGACGCTGGCACAATGCCAGTGCCCCCATGAAAATGTGATCCCTCCCTTGAATGCTGTGAAGTGGAATCTAGAACAGAGCAAAGCAGGGCCAAGCTTAATAACAGAAAAAAACTTTATTAAGCTACTACTACAAAAGAAAAAAAGAAAGGAAAAAGGAAAAAAAAAAGGCACACAAAGATAAAAATGAAAACCTTGCAAA